CATCCCATGATCCCTTGGCCTCGCTTCCTCCCTTACCTCCTTCAAGGCCGGTCTCAAGACCCTTCTCTTCGACTGTGCCTTTGGTCTCCCTCCCACCTCTCTGCCTTCCCTCACCCCTACACCACCCCTCCCCCATGCTCGGGCCCCGACACCTGACTGTTTAGCGCTTTGGGACGTCCTTCCGATGTGAAAGGCGCTCTATAAATGTCATTTTGTTGTTGTAGTTGTATTCCAGGAGCTTGTCCGTAGGGTATTTTTGAGCAGACAATACACAGGAGCAAAAATTACAAAAGCAAAAATAGAGGAAATGCAAAGCAGAATGTTCTGAAGGACATTTTTAAGCGAGCAAATGTGGAAGCGAATAATAACAGGTGTATGGACTGAGATGAAAGTGCAGTGAGTCATCGTTGAGGGAGAAAGGAAATTCAAGGTGAATAGAAGCTTGTAAGGTACAATTGTGAACAAGCAGAATGCAGAGTTTCACAGAACATGCTTCAAACAGGAAAGACACAATCAACCGAGTCTAACAACTGACAAATAAATAAATTAATAAAAGACCACATCAGATAGATAAGACAAATCTGATGAACGAGTTATTTGTACCCTACAATCGTTGAGAATTAGCTGAATTTGGGTCAAAATGAAAACTCTAATGTAGCTGATATAGATCAAGATGCATAATCATGTGGGATAAACCAGCAGAATCTCTCACAGCTATTGTTAGTCATAGACAACTGCACCCACATTGCCTTTGCACAACATCCCACATGAGCAGAAACAAACTGGAACTGAACTGAAACGGTACGGGTATGTGACAATTCATCCAGTCAGCTGGGACAACGGGAACTTAAAGCAGGGGCCAGGGTAGCATTATCAAAAAGGTTCTTGTATTCCAAGCACTTCCCCTTACCTCTCAGTTACAATACCGCATTGTAACTCAAGCAAAGGTTTGCCAAATTATGCCAAATTTGACATAGTTGCCTTGTCACGTCTTCGAGACGTCTCAAAGTGCTTCACCACCGAACATACTGTAAAGTGAATTGACTATATATTTTGTGGGCGGAATGATTCTTTCCTGCTCTAACAGGAATGTAAGATCAAGAGGCAAAATTTTGATTGTGTAATTCAATTGGGTCTCTGTAATGTTGTAATTTGCCCAATCGTTCCTTGATTATAAATGTTCTCACTTGTAGAATTTCTGAGTCTCTGTATATTGACCCTCAAGTGGCTGCATCTGGATTGATTTTATTTCCTGTACATGGAGCTGACAACGATTATCATTAAGTGCTCTTCTTCTGAATAATGGCATTCATACTCCTATGCAATGAAAATCTATGTATGTAGAGATGCAAAGAGTTATACAATGTGTTATTTAGAGTCAGTGAGAGAATCGGAGAATATAATTCGAGGGACAAATAGAAACCGAGAATCAGGCAGGTAAAAAAATAAGAAATAGAAATTAAGGACATAATATTTTAAGAATAAAAATGGCATTGGACCCAACCCAGGAACTGTAAGACATCATTTTTGATGCTATTGAAAAGGGGGTGATGAGAAAGGTTATTTAATACATATTTTAGTTATTTATATTGGAATTAACCAATATTATTTTGCTTTCTGTATAAAATGAGCAACTGGAGATATCTAGTGTTAACATAATAATAATCCTTGCATTTGATATTGTGCTTTATTGTGTCTTTGAGATGTCTAAAAGCACTTCACAGGATATACTGTAAAGTGAATTGACTGTGTATCTTGTGGGCGAAACGCAGCAGCCAATTGCGCACATTGAGTGCAAACACTGGGAGATTATTCTGTATTCTTGCTTGACAGCTTTTATGAGCACAGTACTTTTCTCAAATAAAAATAGAATAAAAATGCCTGCTTGCTTTAGGAAAAGCATTCATTTAACAGCCACTATTATAGGGATGTGCTATATTCTCACATTGTAAATATAACCCCAATTAATGTATAACTCCAGATCAATCTTGTGGCGTTTAAAAATAAACAGTGACTGATTGCTGAATCAGTAACCAGGAAAAACATCTGAAACTTTTGAAGGGCAATAGGTGGAGCAGATCCAGTTGAGATAAATTTGTCTTTGAACCTTGTACAGAACAGATTGACGTCAATTAAAGTTATTCAGGTTAGCTCTGATAAATTGGTGTAAGATTACAAATAATAATATTAATAATTCTTGCATTTGATACAGTGCCTTATCACATCTTTGAGACGTCTCAAAGCGCATCACAGAATATACTGTAAAGTGAATTGACGGTATATTTTGTGGGCAAATCGCAGCAGCCAATTGGGCACAGCAGCGTCCCACAAACAGTCATGGATTGAGTGACTACTTTTTTTTATTACTACCATTAATATTCTTAAATGATAGCTTATGTGGAATGTTTGTTGATCCAATAATACTCCATTTATGAGGCTGTTTCAGACATTCAAATTAATGTTTCAATCCATAAATTATACATTGACCTTAACTAACTTGGTGTCACAACTATTTTACACCTAACTCTATACATCCGTAGGACAATTTTATGTACACAGTGCAAATAAAGTGGCATTCAGTCACTGTGTCACAATTACAAAAATCAATTGTTTGTGTCTTGCTATTCTTGCTTGAGATTAATGATTCCCCAGACCTGTACGGGATCTAAAGATAAGTGAATGTCACAGTGACCCACTCTCAGGATGTTCAATAAATACACTTATTGAGTACTCTGGGCAGATGATAAAGCTAAGACTATGGCAATCACTTTCAATGTGCCTGGTATTGTGATGGTGCTCTCTGCATACGATGAACCTCAAAAGCATGGGGTTTTGCCTATGGAGAAAAATTGGCACCAAAGTATATTTAATAATGAGAACACACCAATAAGTTAAATAAGAAACTTCACAATAAATATCTTTGGGGGGATTTAAAATTCTTCGATTTCATATTGTGGGCAGGGTTTCCTAAAAGCCTCGGTACTTCGTGATCTTACTAATGGTTTTAACATATGAAGAGAATTACAAGCCAAGCTGAGTTCTTGCAGAAGTTCTGTTATGGAGGTAATTGAGTATATTAGTGGTACTTATTTTAAAGAATACCACTATCAGATATGGCATACTCCCTTTCAAGGTAAGCGGTAAACATGGCCAATCAGACCATTTGTCTTAAAATTTAGAAACATGCATAAAATGCTGGATTAAAGCTGGATTCCACAATTCTTTAAAAGAAAAGCTTCCAAATCTGTCATTCAAAGGTTTTAATTGTTAAGTGTATTAACATTAGAAAATCCCAATTTACGCAAGAATTGTCAAAATGGCTGCGCTTAGCAAGGAGTGGAATTTCAACTCCCATAGTGTGTCCAAACATCTCGGTGCATTGTTTTGGATTAATTATTGATCTTGTGCCTGAAAAGACCTGAATTCCAAAGTTGAAAATATGCAGGTGTTCTGATGGAGTCCACACTCCAGTGGATCCCAATTAATGTATAACTACAGGGGCGACCAGCTGAAACCGCAGAGCTTGGCATTGATATCACTGTCTGACAAGCTTTCCCACTACTTGTCCAGCTACCGGTTAGGGCTTTGGCTCGCAGGATTAATAGGAGTCATCGCCAGAGTTCGCTTCCAGTCATGGCTAATGATCCGATCGATGTTACATTGAGGGCAATTACGAGAGTTCATTTCAAGCGATGTGACGAGTAACGTGTGTTAAGCAGAGTGATAAGTAAAGTGATGCCCTTTGTCAATAGTCTGTATGGGAAGCAGCCCATATATTGACAGCGTAACGACTTAAATGAGAGTGACGAACTAAGCCGGAGTGGGGGTTGGGGGTGGAACTCGAGTTATATCCAGAGTTTATTTCATCGGAAAGTTTAATTCGGATGGATGTGCGCGTTTCGCCCACAAAATACACAGTCAATTCACTCTACAGTATATTCTGTGAAGCGCTTTGACACGTCTCAACGACGTGATGAGGCGCCACATCAAATGCAATAACAATAAATAATCATTAATAACAATAATAATTATAACATTCTGTCGTATTACTGCAATAACAATCGCTATTACAGTAATACTATATAATAATCATTATTATAATAATAATCCTCGCATTTGATACAGCGCTTTTCACGCCTTCTCGACGTCTCAAAGCGCTTCACAGATAAAGTGAACCAACTGTACGTTTTGTGGGCGAAACGCGGCAGCCAATGGCGCTCCGCGGCGTCCCCCCAAACAGCCGGGGATGGAGTCACCAATTTTATTGCGTTTCTTTTTCTTGAGGGGATCATATTATTGTGGAGCTCAGTAGTTAGAGCACTCGCTTTGCAAGTGAGAGACCTGAGTTCAATTCCAGGCAGAGGGCGAAACCTTGGGCAAGTTTCCTTACTCCACACAGAGCCTAATAATAATCCCTCCAAAACCCAAAACAATAATAAATTGGTCATTTTCAATCTACGACTGTTTGTGGGACATTGCTGTGCGCAATTGGCTGCCGCGTTCGCCCACAAATATACAGTCAATTCACTTTACAGTGTGTTCTGTGAAGCGCTTTGGGACGTCCTCCCGACGTGAAAAGCGCTATATCAAATGCAAGGATTATTATTATTATTATTGTCAGAAGACGTGCGGAGCGCGGAGACTCGCCCCGAGGGAGTCGAACCCAGGTCTCTCGCTCGCCGGGGCGGGGGCTCTGGGCTCTGACCACCGAGCCACAGGACTCCATTTATTACAGTAACACCACAGAATGTAATATTGTGGTACAACATAACATGACTGTGAGAAGTGATCCACTGTTATCTTATTGGAGAGCAGCAGCAGTATCAGCATTGGGGCTGTGACTGTGTCTCACTGCGCCTCCAGCGGTCACAGCCTGCAACTGCGGCAAGTGGGCGGGTCCGGGCCGCGCAGGCGCACTCACTGGAGCCGGAGTGGGGTGGGTCACTGCGCGTGCGCGGATGAACGGGCGGGGCTTGACGGGACGTGAGGTCACTTCCTGTGACGCGGACTTCCTGTGAGTCGGCCGCACGGTCCCAGCCTCGCGCCCCCGTCAGGGCAGCGCCTCCGTCCCCGTCCCCACCACCACCAGCACCGGCCCCGAGCTCAGGCCTCGTGACAGACACCGCGGGTAAGAGACCGACCCGGGGCCGGGGCCCGGCCGACCCTGTGGGGAGGGGCTGTGGGGGGGGGCGGTGGGCGAGGCCTTGTCCCGCTTTAACTCTGTCTCGTTCTCTCTCCGTCTCCCTCACTCCAGGGCCCGAGCCATGGCCATGAGACAGACCCCCCTGACCTGCAGCGGACACACCAGACCTGTGGTGGACTTGGCCTTCAGCGGGATCACTCCCTACGGCTACTTCCTAATCAGCGCGTGTAAAGGTGTGTGTGTGTGAGAGAGAGAGAGAGAGAGGCGCTTCAGTCAACTGCATATAACGCCCGGAGCAGAGGTGGGCCCTGTGATTAGTAGTGGGAGTTGGGGGGAGAAGGGAACATTGTAAGATATGGGGGAGAACGTAAGTACAGGAGAACCCCATTCGGACCGTTCCGCCGGTCGGGTGGTCCCAGCGGCTTTGGCTGCTGAGGGACCGGTGCCCTGTTTCGGAAGCCTCTGCGGGCCACGGAAGCAGCGTTCTCGTGCTTCCCTTCCAGAAACATAACGTTTACGAGTTACGGAGGGAGCGGGCGGGCGGGCGGGCCAGGTGAGATGGAGAGGGGAATTAATTCATTATTAGGTCATGGCTGATCTGTACCTCAACTCCCAGTTACCCGCCGTGGCCCCATATGATACTCTTGCCTCACAAAAATCTATCCACCTCGGTCTTGAAAATTTGAATGGTTCCAGCATCCACGGCCTTTTGGAGTAGAGAATAGAAGAGGAAAGGACTGTGGTTACTTTACTAACCCTCCCCTTTCCCCCCCCACCACCCTGTGCTATTTGCTGCGGCTTCATCACACTCGTTCAATTGAGTCATAGGCCACTGCTTTGGCAATTGAACAAGTAAATGTTTTGCGACGTTTTCATACGTGTTAAGTGCTATACTATAGGGTACAAACACTAAGGTTTTACTCATTGTGAGATGTTTTATGAGGTATCTATGGTAATTATTATAGGGCCCTTCATTTCGAACAAGGTTTTGGGCAGCTTTACAGTAATGTGTCTGAATGCTGTGTAGGGGAAGAACAAGATGACTATAGATGCTGTGGCAGAGATAGGTTTTACATTGGGACTTGGACTGAGGCAGTAAAGTTATGTTCTTACACATGGATTAGATTTTTTTTAGGAAATAACATGGGATATAGTACATAGGTAGTTCGGGACATATGTGCTTGCGACCCCTAGGAAGGTGAAAGGCGAACTACATTGAGCTTGATTTTTTTTTGTCTAGGTTTTCTTATGTAAAGGAGTTCCAGAGATTCAAGGTGTAAGGACTGAAGGCTTTGGTGACTGATGATGGCGCAGTCATGAAATGCTTCCTTACCTCAGTTCTCATTGCCTTCAGATATTAAGGCTGTGTCCCCTTGTAATGGGTTCCTTTTATCAAAGGAAAGAGTTGCCCACAATCCAACGTCTTTGTTTCGTTTTAAATGGCTCAATCAAATCATCCTTCAATCTCCTCTGCACTAAGAATATGACATCATTCTACCAAACCTTAACGTATAAACTCCTTCAGCACAGGTATCAATTCCAGGCAGAGGGCGAAACCTTGGGCAAGTTTCCTTACTCCACACAGAGCCTAATAATAATCCCTCCAAAACCCAAAACAATAATAAATTGGTCATTTTCAATCTACGACTGTTTGTGGGACATTGCTGTGCGCAATTGGCTGCCGCATATGCCCACAAATATAGTCAATTCACTTTACAGTGTGTTCTGTGAAGCGCTTTGGGAGTCCTCCTGACGTGAAAAGCGCTATATCAAATGCAAGGATTATTATTATTAATCTAGTGAACAGTCGCTGGATAACCTCCAAAGCTAGTAAATCCTTCTCAAGATTAGCTGCCCAAAACTAGGCACAGTACTCCAGTGTGCTGGGTTGTTGGAAGTGCAGTCCTTCAGATGAAACAATTGACCAATGGCACTATTTATTTAAAAGAACGGTTTCTCTCGGTGTCCTTTTGAATGTATTGCCTGAATATTGTTAGTTCTTCACAACATTCTTCATACTTTCAAAAGATTCTCCTGGGACTAAGGTGACATTTTTAAAACGCTCTCTTTAAAATTATGAATGCTTGCCTGATGTTTGTGTTTGAATTTACTATTTGTTTTTGGTGTTTAGATGGCAAGCCTATGTTACGCCAGGGTGACACCGGGGACTGGATTGGGACGTTTCTGGGTCACAAAGGTGCTGTCTGGGGAGCCACATTAAATAAAGATGCCAGTAAAGGGGCAACTGGTGCTGCAGATTTTTCAGCGTGAGTACTGAAATTCGCTTAAATATTTTGCACATTGCAGAGTTTGCTTCATTGAGACCCTATATGGTAGGCTGATGTCCATGATGTATTACATTATGAAGGTAGGAGTAAATTGTTCCAGAAGAGATAGATAATGCAAGCCTGGGTTTTCTTGTCGATTAGAAGAGAAGACGGGAAGTTGGATTTTCTGTGGTCTTAAGCTTCTGGGAAATGATCAATTTTATTAGGAGACAGATTTAGGAACAGCTCTGCGTTTCTGGAACTTGGTAGTGTAGCAGTTAATTACTGTGGTTACTAGAGCTTATTTTACAGTTTCCTAAACCAAGGTATAGCCATTCATTGAACCCCAAGGTGAATCTTATATTTACAGTATTTATGTAATCAACTTTATGTAATCAAGATTTCCAACAGGGTGAAACCTTGGGCAAGTTTCCTTACTCCACACGCCTGATGATAATTCCTCAAGAAAAAAAATGGTCATTTCAATCCACAACTGTTTGTGGGATACTGCTGTGCACAATTGGCTGCCGCGTTTTGCCCACAAATATACAATTAATTCACTTTACAGTCTATTTTATGAAGCACTTTGAGAAGACGTGAAATGCGCTGTATCAAATGCGAGGATTATTATAACTACATTTAACTCTGAAGGAGATGGATAACTTGGCTACGTTGCAAAAAACTATTTCAGTTGTTACTAGGGAAGACAAGCTATACACTTCCCTTTTCTATACAACCGGGATTCTTACAAATGGCATTTTAGGGACGTAGCCAATCGCATTCAAGGCAAAAGCAGGCCTTCCACACATGCTTTACACCTTGTCTTCATTGGATGCTGCAACTGGTAAATCAGCTAAAGGGTGATCGCACGCTTAGCTATATGAATTTCAAGAACAAAATATTAGCCCATCCTGAGTTTCACAACGCAATTATCAGTTTTTAAGTGGATTGCTACAGTTAATTATATTACATGGGCAAACTTCATTTTGCACACAAAATTATACATTCAATTCACTTTACAGCATATTCTGTGAAGCACTTTGAGACATCTTTGAGATAAGGTGCTAAATCAAATGCAAGTATTATTATAACTAATATTTCTCGATAATTTATGTCAATTTTTCTTCTCCCAGCAAGGTGTGGGATGCTGTGACGGGCGATGAACTGATCAGTTTAGCCCACAAACATATTGTCAAATCTGTGGACTTCACTCAGGTAAGATAAACTTCTCATTCATCAGTCAAGATTGTCTTCCTTGTATCTAGAACTTCTTTAAATTACATTTGTTTTGCAGGATAGCAACCACTTGCTGACAGGGGGACAAGATAAACTTTTACGAATTTACGATTTAAACAAGACTGATGCAGGTGAGGTGTGAGAAGAGCAATAGAACTATTATACAATTTAAATTTAACGTCTATGGTTACCTCAGAAATGATTTGTTATGGGTGGTCTAGAACGCTTTGCAGCTAAAAAGAGAGATGGATGATTTTCTTTCCTCTCCCATTAGAACCTCTGGAAATTGGTGGTCACACTTCTGCCATTAAGAAAGCTTGTTGGTGTAATGGAGATAAACAGATACTTTCAGCAGCTGATGACAAGACAATACGGTAAGGAGTTTTACTGGTCAGAGCTGGTATTTCATATGGAGTAATGTAATAATAATCCTTGCATTTGATACAGAGCCTTAACACGTCTTCAAGCCGTCCATCTGTGGAGTCCTGTAGCTCAGTGGTTAGAGCACTCGTTTTGCAAGTGAGAGACCTGAGTTCAATTCCAGGCAGAGGGCGAAACCTTGGGCAAGTTTCCTTACTCCACACAGAGCCTAATAATAATCCCTCCAAAACCCAAAACAATAATAAATTGGTCATTTTCAATCCACGACTGTTTGTGGGTCATTGCTGTGCGCAATTGGCTGCCGCGTTCGCCCACAAATATACAGTCAATTCACTTTACAGTATATTCTGTGAAGAGCTTTGGGACGTCCTCCCGACGTGAAAAGCGCTATATCAAATGCAAGGATTATTATTATCTGGTTTGGCCTTTATTGTGTCAGCCTGGCTAAGATGGTAACAGTTGCCTTGGAGTCAAAGTTGTAACTCTCAAGCCCCACATTGTAGTTTTAAAGTTATTGTCTTGGTTGACGCCAATGCAGTGCTTGGGATGTGCAGCTTTGCTGGAGGTGCCATCCTTCAGATTAAACTTTAAACCAAATGTTTTAATTTTTTTTGTTTAATCTTTTAAAGCAACATTGTTATGAAATTTTATTTGCTTATTTGTCTATACAGCCTCTGGGACAGGGAAAGCATGACTGAGGTGAAATCTATAAATTTTGGAACATCTGTGAGCAGTATGGAGTACATACCTAAGGGGGAGATGCTTATTCTAACCCATGGGAAAACCATTGCTTTTTACAATGCACTAAGGTATGTTTTAAATCTTGATGATCTTAGGAAATGTCAATTCATGTATGCCTTTAATTGGGCGGAGCTAAATTCAGAAAACTGCATTTTAATACTAAAAAAAAGCTGCTGCTGAGTTTGTGCAAGATGAGCGAGTACTGTATTTATCCAGTAATAATAGTTTGGCTGAAACCTTTCACTCATTCCCGCCCCATCACTCTTACCCATCCTCTACTAAAACATCCTCTGCTAAAACATTATCTATGTGGACATTGTGAAGCATTTGGGAAGTTGTTGCAACCACTGTTTCTATTTGCTTTGGCTTTCCAAGTTACTAAAGAATCTCTGAACAGTTAAGTGATAGGAAAAATAAAGAGAAGTTGGATCTGCACAGCTCGTCACTCAGCATCTTAAAGATGTCTAGTGTGTTGGGTGCCATCATTTATCAATTTGATGTTAAGTTATTATCAATTGTATTTAATGAAGGATCATTTGGGAAGCTGGAGAGATAGTGTTTCCTATTTGTCAACTATGATCCTTTATTAGAATATAACTAGGTCCTTATGGTTCTTAGGATCAAATCATATGCAATATTGGGTTCTGGAGCAAACTTAGTATTTTAATATTGGGATGAAAACAGTGGATGAATTGACTGACTAGAAAAAACTTGTTTTTTAAATACCATTTACATAGCTTCAACATTTTGCTGAAATTGTGTACTTCTGTTTCTTGCAGTCTTGAGCTGATCAAATCTTTTGACGCACCAGCTTCAATCAACTCTGCTTCTCTTCACCCTGAGAAAGATTGCTTTGTGGCAGGAGGTGATGACTTCAAACTGTATAAATTTGATTACAATACTGGCGAAGATTTAGGTAGGTCTTCATACCTGTATATTATTATTGTATATTAAAGCGAGTTGAGGAATCCCCCGACATGTAACCAAATGGAAATCCTTTGTTACAGAGTCATATAAAGGACACTTTGGTCCTATTCATTGTGTAAGATTTAGCCCTGATGGAGAATTGTACGCCAGTGGTTCTGAGGATGGAACACTTCGTCTTTGGCAGACAACAGTTGGCAAAACCTATGGCTTGTGGAAGTGTGTACTCCCTGGTAAGTACAATTTTTATAATTGATGGACAATCCATTTGTTGCTGTAAAACTATCAATATCTTTTATTCTAATAATGTGAGCAATTAACCGTTCCTCTTAAATTGGGGTAGAGCATTTCAGCTTTTTTGGTTCATAGAATTATACAGCACAGAAGGAAGTCGTTCAGCCCATTGCGTCTGTGCAGGCTCTTTGAAAAGTGCTATCCAAATCAATCTCACTCCCTCGCTCTCTCTCCCCAAATAATTACTCTTACTGTTATTGAATCGGCTTCCACCACTTTTTCAGGCAATGCCTGTCAGGTCCGAACACCTCGCTCTGTTAATTCCAGAAAGACATTTGCTGAACGAATAGATTCATCTTTGTGGCAAGTTGTAATGTAAGGTATTCCAAGTGCTGTATTTAAACTTGTTGCTTTGTATTACAGAGGAACTTAGCTCTGAAAATTCGGATTCAATCTACGGTACACCTCCTGAGGCAAAAGCTTGAACAAAACAGCACGAGACAAAAAGAAGAGCAACATTCAGTTGAATTGCTGAAAGTTAAAATGAGGCCTTCCATTGTGTACGGTTAAGGCAAATTCAGGCATCCCAATGGAATACATCAGTAATTCAAAAACTGAAGATGACTTTAGTTCAGTGCAGCTGCCTTCCTGTCAGTGTTTGCATTAAAGCCTGCCCAGCAACATCTGTATATATTTTAATGTATCTTGGCAGATATTTCTGTTCATGTGGAGGAAAACCGGCAAGGTCAGTTATACCATCATGGTTTTGAGGTTTGTTTTCCTTTAGAAGTACATTTCATCCATTTATTTTCACACGTTTCCCTCCACGAATGCAGTGCTAAATTCAGTTTAAAAAGATAAATAAAAGGTCTTTTGAGTTTGTCTGGTCTTCCTATTCATTCCAAATAGTCTGCACATTTGCACTTACAGATTCTTCTCCACGATTCTTATTGATTCTTACTCATTTTCTATATCCCAAGCAGTACTAAACTGGCCCCATCACTTTTGCTAAACTTTCAAAACCAAAAAACAATAATAAATTGGTCATTTTCAATCTACGACTGTTTGTGGGACATTGCTGTGCGCAATTGGCTGCCGCGTTCGCCCACAAATATGCAGTCAATTAATTTTACAGTGTGTTCTGTGAAGCGCTTTGGGACGTCCTCCCGACGTGAAAAGCGCTATATCAAATGCAAGGATTATTATTATTATTATTATAAACATAGGGTACATTTCGCTACACAAACACATCCGCAATTCTTACATTTTGTTAAATTGCTTAAAAGGGCCCGAATTAAAAACTCCGCAGCGCCGCTGGGAATGCCCTGAGGCTGAAGATTTAAAAAAGAGGCTCCCGGTTCACTTGTTGATTTCGTATCCGAGTTTAATGCCGTAGACACCAACTTCGTCTTCGGGGGGTTCTCGCCGATGAGGCGGTTTCCAGCGCGGGTTCAGGCGGGTGGTGTGTGGGGGACGCACGTGTGTTCCAAACGGTCCCTCGTGACTCCCCCGAACTCCTCGGCCAAGGAGCGCCGATCACAACGGGACAACGGCGATGCGTTTGATAACCGCATTCATCAAATCGCGGAACGTACTGACGGTGTCGGTTTGGCCGATCGTCCGCAAACCGGTGTCGCTGACCCGGCGCTGGTGGTGAGGCTTCGACCGGCCCTGAGTGACGTCCCGCTGGGGCTCCCGCGTCGCCATGGTTACACCGCCCGGATCCGGAAGTGACGCGTGGCTACTTCCGCTCGGCGGTTGGGGGTGGGAGGGGAGGGTAGGAGGAGGCGCTGCTGACAACAATGGCGGAGAGAAACCTCGGCTCCCAACTCGGTCAGTGACACAGCGCAGCCTCCGTCCGCCCTCTGTGGGGGCCTCACACCGGCGGGAGGGGTTCGCGGCCGCGGGGGGAGCGCCTCCGGCCGATGACAGTTAGAGCAGCCAAGCCCCGGGGGGGGCAGCTGGAGCCCTGGCAATGGGTGGTGGGGGGGGGGTCGGTGTCTCGTCTCGTCTAATGTGCTCGGCTCAAACCTGTTAACGGGTCGGATGGGGTGGTCTCCCCCTCCCTTCAAGACCCCCTCTCAAAGACCCCACCCCCCACCGCTCATCGACCCGCACCTCCGGTCACCCTCCTACCGCCCCCCCCTGATCCCAGCCGCCCCGACTCCTCGGGGTGCGGATCCCTGACCGTCCAGCGCCTCGGGACGTGGGTCCTCCTGGCGTGGAAGGCGCCGGGGCCGCGTGTCGTCTGTTGTCGTCGTTGTCGTCGTCGTCGTTGTCGTCGTCCTGGCTGCACCAGCATCGGGGAACGTTCCCCAGACCCAGTCCTTAATGGCAAGCCGTGGATTTAGCTGATCCGTCTCCCGACAACCACTTACATCGCCTCTCGGAGCGATTAACGGTGGAGGAGTCTTGACACCGAGCCGGGGTGGGTGGGAGGGTGGGTGGGTGGGTGGGGGAGGAGGTGACCATAAGCACAATAACGACGACAACAACGAAATTACATTTGTAAAGCGCCTTTCACGTCGGGAGGACGTCCCGAGACGCTGGACAGACGCGAGCTTCGGGCCCGAGCTGGGGGTCGGCGTCAGGGAGGGTGGAGGGCCGGGTGGGTGGGGGGGGGGGGAAGCAGGGGATCGAAACCACGGTCGAAGAGGAGGGTCTTGAGATGGGTCTTGAAGGAGGCGAGGGAGAGGGGCGAGGCGGAGGGCCTGCGGGATGCAGTCCCAGAGGGTGGGGGCAGAGTGGCAGAAGGCAATAGTGGGGCGGGCGAGGCAAAAAAAAGCACGCTCCAAAAGGAAGGTCTTTCGCCGTGATCTAAAAGAGAGGAAGGAGGGGATAAGCTGGAGGGCTACCTGGAATACTCCAGCAATATCTCAGTGCATACTCTGTGATTCGGTAAGCAGGGTGCATCCCTCCGTGGAGCAAATGTGCATTCAATTCCGGACACAGGGACATTTCCGATCGTAGATGGTGTACTACATCTCGCCTGACACTCGAGTGGACTGCTGCATTGTCGCATTGCATTGCTGGAGGTACCAGCCTTTGGATGAGACATTGAACTGAGGTCTCATCTGCCTGTTCAGGTTTCCGCATGTGTCAGACATCCAGCCCACCAAGTTGACTCACACCTCTGACTTTGTAGTAGTCGCAACTGGTAGATTCCATGTAGTTCTTAAGCTATTTCATGTTACTCTGATTTTTTTTTACTAGCATAAATGTTGTTTCTAATTCATAAGCATCTATTTACCCAGCTGGCAAGCACTGCCTCAAGGAATGGGAAGGATGAATGACAATAGAAATCAGCATCTGAAATGTGTCACATTAGATGCTTTGTTTCTGTTGTATTGCATTAGAAGGTCCCCAGAATAGTACATGATTACAGAAGCACATGTGATTAGAAACATGGCCTTGAAAAACGATTGAGCTGTGATTTGATTATACCAAGCAGTTAATGCATATCAAATGAAGAGCATCAGGAAAAGCATGAAGCTTTCTTCTGTAAGCTGAAGCTTACCCTTGTGTTACAACAGGAAGACAAGGAGGTCATAAGCTAACACTGACACTATATTTCATTCTGTATTTGATTTGATTCCAAAGCTGCTAAGTGCCAAAGTGTTGTAATGCCATTGTCAACGGGACTTTGTTTCAGATGGGTTGATACCAGATCTGTACAAGTTCCAGAGCTTGGACAGTGTAGAATGAATACCGTAGTGTAGACTGTAGATAGTGTAGTGTTGTCTCATGTTCTCTGCACATTGAGAGAACAAAGGAATTGAACATTAAAAAACACGACTGGAATTTCAGCTTTCAACCTAGTGAGCAGAATGGATCTGGCAAGCTATTGTTCAGGTGTTTGAAGAAGTCTTGGAAGACTGTTACTGGGATGAAAGAAACTTGAAAAAAAACGTAACTTTTATTGTTGAAGAGATGCGGGTTGTTAAACTGAGCAAACAAAAAAAGATTTTTATAGACATATATGCCTACGCATAAACTTATACTGTACTGAACTTAAATGAGTTTTAACAAATAAACTGACAGTTGTCGGGGCCGGGGATTTCTCTGTCACCGTGACAGCTGCTCACCATGCAGGTGCAATGTTGGTGTGCATCCTCCCAGCTACAGTGCCCCCTAGTGCCCCTGGAGGATTCATGTTTACATAGTCATATTGTATCACAGGGCTTTTCACTGTGAACGATGGTATATTAGAAGTTTACTGTATATACTTTTTGGAAAAAGTATTAATTTTACATATAGCCTTAGAATACAGGAGGCACATATATAGGTACTATCATTTATAGGCAAACGCAACCACCAATTTGCACACAGGCACCAATTAACCGCCGCAGCCTTTATCTACAAATACACAGTTACTACACTTTATAGCAATTCCCTGTGAAGTGTTTGGGGTTTTTTGATGTCATTAAAGGTACTGTATTTTCCCCAAGAAAAAATCTGTTCATGGTTCATAATTTGGCTCTTCAGATTTGGCCTGGGTATCGAAAGTTAGTGTGAATCAGCCTGCTGTTGTGAGACGTGCAGAGCAAATTCAGACGAGACGCCCTGTGAGTAAAGACTGGCAAGTGAGTATTCTGTGCTGATCATCCTGATAACCTGGCAAAAATCATGTAAGGTAATCAAGTAAAAATGCTTTATTATAATATGTTTGTTGAGTTGGGAGTGGCAGGTAATTCAAGCCCACAATCTGTTATTGTGAGAAAGTTTAGATTCTGGAAATACAATAGAACTAAAGAAATGGTTCTGCTGCCTGGGGCTCCTGGTAATATATATATATATATATATATAGGATGGTGCGCCATCTTGCGGCAAAAATAGGTATTTTATTATTTTCTTAACTGCTGGGTTGACTTTTATTTTTGTAACTCCTCTTTACCCCTTCCTGTGTGTCCTTGTCCAAGGTTCAATTTCTGGTTAAACATTGAACTTTTCTCTTTGATTTTAGGCTGCATGGCTGCTGAAGGCTGTCACCTGTATCGACCTCACAACACTATCTGGTGATGACACTCCTTCAAATGTCTATAGACTGTGTTACAAAGCCAAGCATCCGATCAGAGATGATCTTTTGAAGAGTCTGAACATGCACAACAAAGGTGATTTAACTCTTGAATGGCTTTCCCACCACGATTCAAACTTTGCTGAGGTTTACAATAAATCGTTTGACTTTTTTTTAAAAAGGAAGCGTGCATCAGAATTCATTTATGTGACAGTTGTTTGACCAGACAATCCACATTGTAAGAGAAACATATCGAGAGCAGTACTTCTAAAGAATTGTTTGTAAGCTTTCTTTCTTTCCAATGTGGTGAAGGCAGTTATGTTTGAATTGAAATGCAGAACAACTTCCTGGCTCTAAAATTTTCAAAAATAAAATCATGGTTTATAAAAGTGGCTTAAAACAAAGCGTATTATTGGTAAATGGAGTCCTGTAGCTCAGTGGTTAGAGCACTCGCTTCGCAAGCGAGAGAACTGAGTTCAATTCCCGGCAGGTCAGGACGAAACCTTGGGCAAGTTTTCTTACTCCACACAGAGCCTAATAATAATCCCTCGAAAACCCAAAACAATAATAAATTGGTCATTTTCAATCCACGACTGTTTGTGGGACATTGCTGTGCGCAATTGGCTGCCGCGTTCGCCCACAAATATACAGTCAATTCACTTTACAGTGTGTTCTCGTGAAGCGCTTTGGGACATCCTCCCGACGTGAAAAGCGCTATATCAAATGCAAGGATTATTATTATTATTAAATGGTAAGAGAGTTTCATAGTAACAGTTCCTTTAATGTGGAACTATAAAAGAATGTCAGGTCGGTGTGAAGTTAGAACTCCTATTGTATGTACATAACATGGTGAAATATTTTGAAGTTCAAATCAAAATAGAAAATTCACTATGCTTTTGAATTTATAACTGACAGAAGCATTAGCTTTGTATTATTATTATTATTGGCAGTGAACTAACATGTTAGCATAGGTTCATTTTCATAGAGTACTTATTTTACACCGAATGATTTTGTTGAAATACTTTGTGCAAAAGTAAAGATGTGAATGTGTATGTACTCTTTTGTGTAGGTATTACTACCGGTGCAGTGTGTGTTTACCCCGCTCGAATATGTGATGCAGTAAAAGCATTGAAAGCTGCACAATGCGATATCCCTGTTGCCTCAGGTATGGAAATATATTTAAAGATTCTAATTTACGTTTGCAGTGTAGGCTTTTAGTTTGAAAAGAAGTAATTCAATAGCCATTGGTCTTTCTGAATACAATGCATTCTGGTTAATTAGTACATGAATGAAAGCACTTTACTAAGGAAGCCGGATTGTGACACTGAAATTTCTTTTCTAAGTGGCAACTGGTTTCCCTGCTGGACAGACACCACTGAAAACGCGGTTGGAAGAGATAAAAATGGCCGTGGAAGATGGTGCTCGAGAAATTGACATCGTAATTAACAGAACCTTGGTGCTGACAGGACAGTGGGAAGGTAAAGATAGTTTGTCTTTTCATTCAATAGCAATTATTTTAAAAGAGATAATTTATTTTAAAATATCAGTTTTGTTGGTGTGCCCAAATGGCTAGACTGTTGTCTACATTGAATTAAGTATAACTGAACTCAATTCTAGTAAAAAAGGGAGCTGCGTTTTTAGGCTTGGTCTATGCATCCCTTTTGTTGTTAAAACCAGTGTTATATAAGTAAGTTTTGGAACAATTTCTGCTGAAAAATAATGCATGTAAGACTGGTTTGAGTTTGCTCATCTAAATGTATCTGCATTTTGAGAAATGATACAAGTCTGTCTCAATATTACTCTGATTTTATACTGGCTCCAGTAAAACTCTGATAAGTATCGAGCCAATTTCTTCAACCTTGTTAACTTTTTCAAATTAGTATAAAGAGTTATTAGCTCTTCCCTTGCTTTAAAATGTTTACCAAGATTTGGATACTAGCAGGTTAATTCAGTGCTGTTACTTTACACTGCCCTAAAGCAGATAATTGCTGTTAAACATAAAACAGATGCAACGAGCATTATAAAATTGGGCTTTTATACCTCTCGATTTGTAAATAGGCTTTTATACTTCTAGATCACAGCGTTAAGTGGCTGAGATTGGGCTCAATTCTGAAGGTTTGGGAACAATTGGGTCTTTTTTAGGGAGAAGTCAATGGAAAGAACTAAAAGCAACACAATTTCTAATTTACATCTTGTTTCCAGCCTTGTATAATGAGATCCATCAATGTCGTGCAGCCTGTGGAGATGCTCACATGAAGACCATATTAGGAACTGGAGAGTTGGGATCATTGACAAATGTATACAAGACCAGTCTTGTAGCCATGATGGCAGGTGAGTTAGAAATTTGTCTTCAAGAATCTCATTAAGATTTACCTTTTTACTGTTGCTTATTTCGATGGCAGGATGTGGGCAAATACTGGGCTCCCAGTGTGCTGCCCTTTGCAATCCTTCAGATTGGCACTTTTGTCGAATGCTCGTATTTGTGAATCATTGCACCCTGGACAGTACTTTGTCTCCTACGATGCCTTTGAGGGAATAAAAGAAAAGTTAAACGTACATGTAAATAAGCTGTTGGGAAGTAGGGAATATTTTACTATTCAGTTTCTGCATAAATTATGTCAAAATGGTTGGCAAAGCAAATTAGCATGCATTTTAAATGGGAAAGGGGGAAAGACATTCATATATTTTTCTCTGGAATCTCGTGTTAAGTAGAGCTATAATAAGTGGTACATTGTAAAATAATTTAGTCTTGCAATTTCTTGGCGTTGCAGTAGATGGTGCTGCTATTGATGGTAAACCACTGTGTTAAAAGTGAGCGTGATCCTACATGTCAGTACTTAACAAGAGATTCCGAAACCACTGTAGAGTAGTTACAATCAGAGTCAACAGGAGCAGGTAGGTGTGGATTTTGTAGAATTTGCCTAATTATGTTTGCTGTACCTTAGTTAACGTTGTTTTCCCAGCACTTCCCCTCGTTATCCCCCCACAGCCCATAAAATATAGTCGATTTACTTTAAAGTATATTCTGTGAGACTTCTCATCAACGGGATAAAGCACTATATCAAATGTGTGTGTTATAGCCCTGCGCTGCCTGATCCCAATGTTCATTTATTTATTAAAAATAAAAGGGATGATATTTAACTTATATTAAATAGCCCTTATAAATGAAACACTTTGTACTTTTAAAACATCTAACATCTCCTCTCATTGAAAATGTCTATGTCTCTACAACTCAGCCGTTTAGTTCATCCTCCCAAGTCTAAGTGCTAATGACATGTTCTTTTCTCTGGATCTGTTAAATATTATTGAACCCAGGACTACAATTAACAGTAATAGTTTCCATTTAACATGAGATATGTTCATTGCATGTCTTCAACCTATTTGCGATAGTCAGCTATTCTGCTACCTTCTATTGATAATTCACTCTTGGGAAATAATCAGGTACTTGAATATTTTTCATTATTCAGTAGTGCAATTGCCAATTACCTTTGATTTATTTTATTTTGATGAGCATGAACGTATTTTAGCTTTATTTGGCGCAGCATAATGAATAGTAGCTATCCTGAAGGATGTTGTTTTTGGTCAGCCGTGTGTCTGACTTGTGCGAAACCTATCACCATGCCTAAGATTATTCAAACCAAACTGAGAATTCTGTCCATCCTACCGATTCATGGAAATTCCAGTGATGTTTATTGGAGTGGAATACGCACTCTGTATTGGGGGGACACATCCTGCTTACCTAATTCCGGAGAGTATTAGGCATAGTTTGACAAGGGCCCAGGCTTGGGGACGCCAAATTGTGCGTTAGGTTACTGTTGGAATCTGACCAGCTAAAACTGCATAGCTTATTAAACGTGCATACTTAGCACTTAGAAACAACAAGATTGAATATATTTCCACTTTAACTCACAGAGCTTATTCACTGGTCTTGTAAAGTATTTTTTTCTGATAACATTGAGCAGAATATTTCATATTAGGCAAAACTCAGAACAGATTGCATGGCTACCATTTTTTACCCTGTCCCTAAGTATAATTTCTGCCTTTTTACTCTGATTGCAGATATGGCTGATTATAACTAATTGCAGAATGATCTAGTGCAGAAATGAATTTAGCACCTTTGTCCAAATAATAGATATTTTTGGGGCCTTGCAGTTTCTCATTAAATAATCCATGTCTTTGAATTTTAAAATGAGAGTAATAATTTGATGCATTAATCTTTGGAGTCGGTAATTTTATATCACTCTACTCATTCTTTTGGCTTGCAAATGAATAGTACTTTAATCTGGAAAATGTATTTAAAAAGCATTAGCCTTTACGTGATAATTAAGAAAGATGAGCACAAAGGAAATAATACATAGAACATTTCTTTAATGAACTGAAAAATGTTCATCTTGTTCTGTTTAGTGATGAGTTGCAGAATTGCTGCTAAAACCCTTAGAGAATTAAAGCAAATGAATTTAGTAGAGGATATAATTAAGATACATTGATACATTACGAATTAGAATATTGTCTTTCTTTTCATCAGAAGCTATGAAATGTCAAAAAAAAATCTGAATTTAACCCTTTTAAACAGCTGCTTTTGCTTAAAGCTAAACTTCACCTGTGCTGATGGGTAAATTCTTATTGAGACTGTAGAAAGTACTTAAATTTCCTTTTCTCTGGTTGAACAAGCAATCATTTTTATCCGTAATTTTCATGTATTTCTTGTAAGGTGTGCTTAGGCTCTGAGTGATCTGTGATTGCATACAATCGAGAGCATTGAAGTGATATTTCCCTCTTTGAGATGAAAAATGTATGGATGCGGATTTCTCTCCGACACCATTTGTAATTCGCCATTTTAAAATAAAGGAGCAGGCCAGAGTCCGAGTATACAAGGAAACACGGAAACAAATAGTGCAATGATAATCTTTGCATTTAATATAGCGCTTTATCACTTCTTCGTGACGTCTCAAAGCGCTTCACAGAATATACTATAAAGTGAATTGACTGTATATTATGTGGCCGAAATGTGGCAGCCAATTGCACACAGCAGCGTCCCACAAACAGTCGTGGATTGAGCGACCACATTTTTGCTTTTTTTGGAAGGGATTATTAGCCCTGGAAAATTCATCCACCAATCGTCTTAACAACCGGGTTCCTGTACAATAAACCAACCTGATTTAAGACAGAAAAATGAGTATGTGGATGTTGTCACCTTCTGCCCTGCATCTTTTGAAAAAAGAACTTAAAAACTTAATTCTCATCCTTGGAATGAAACGTTAAACCAAGACCCCACTGGCGGGTGGGTCGGTAACAGGAGGACACCGATTTAAAATAGTTGTTAAAAGAAACAGAGGAGAGGTGAGGAGAAATTTTTTCACGCAACGAGTTGTTTGGATCTGGAATGTATTGCCTGAAAGGGTGATGGAAGCCGATTCAATAACAACTTTTAGGAGAGAAGTAGATCACTATTTGGGGAGGACAAATTTGCAGGGCTATGGGGAGAGCGTGGGGGAGTGGGATTGATTTGGAAGCTCTTGTCAAAGGCCGAACGGCCTTCTTCTGTTCTGTGTAATTCTATGATTCTGTGGGCGTTAAAGATTCCATGACACGGTTTGAAAAGGAACGGAAGTTTATCCTGGTGTCTTGGCCAGCAATCCAACAACTAAACGTGCCACTTCATGGCTATTTGTGGGATATTGCTGTGTGCAAATTGGCTGCTGTGTTTGCTCACAAAATACACACAATCACACCAATTTACGGCAGGCCATGTGAAGCGCTATCAGATTTCTTGACAGTGTGGAGTCCTGGAACTCAGTGGTTAGAGCACTCGCCTTGCAAGTAAGAGACCTGGGTTCGATTCCCACCAGGGCGAAATGTTGGGAAAATTTCCTTACTCCACAAGCCTCTGTTTACCAAGCAGTAAGTAGGAATCCAGTCGTTAGTCGATTGGCAGGTAATAATTCGTACAAAAAAAAAATGAATTGGTCTGTTTGTTGAGCACTGCTGTGCACAATTGGCTGCCGCACTTTGCCTACAAAGTATACAGTCATTTCTCTTTACAGTATATTCTGCAAAGCGCTTTGAGACGTCTCAAAGACGTGATAAAGCGCTATATCAACTACAAGGATTATTAATGTGATATGGCGCTATATCAAATGCAAGGATTATTATTTAATGGAGTTCTTATTTCTAAATGCTGGGGTATTGGCATTCTATTTAAAGTCTCAAATTGATTTTTTTTTATATAGGTTCTGATTTTATTAAGACCTCCACAGGAAAAGAAAATGTCAATGCCACCTTTCCTGTTGCCCTGGTAATGGTACGGGCCATCAGAGACTACTATAGGAAGACTGGCTACAAGGTATGTTCACAACTCGAAGAACATTTTAAAGTGTACTTTATTAGAGTCTCTACGGTGATGTGGTCGGCAATGGAAAATCAGAATCGAGTCAATCATTTGAGGCGGTCTCAGTAGTGTAGTTCTGAGTCAGGTGGGTCCGCAGCAATCCAAGGCCCTATTCATGACAGACAACCCAACCTAGCTCATTGACAGGATTGGAGGTGGGGGGGGGGGCTTCCCGTCAAGTATTCTGGGGTCAAGAATTCTTCCCACTTGGCTCCTAAAAGCCAAAGCCCTAACTGGGTGGTCTTAGTGGACCAGCAGCAAGAAACTTGCCAGACATTACTTGCAATGACAAACTGGCATTTTTAACTCCAGTAGTACCCCAATGCACACTCTGGGGTCCCCAAGCTTTAACTCCGGACACTCTGTAATTAGGTAAGCCGAGTGTGCCTCTTTGGAGAGAGTCTGGATACTCCATTCCTTAGAAATGGAAATTTCCACTCACACTCACATGCAAAATTTTGTTTCAAATACTTGTACGGACGGAGATCATTTTCCATCATACATACACTTCACTGGCCCCTAAAAATACCTTTCTAAATTTTTTTTGTTCCTCTAAATAGAACAGCATTGAAAATAATAGGAGGGAAGTCAGCAGTTTTATAAACTCAAATGTCGTTGGTATGTTTAGCTAAAAAGGATGAATTGGAAGCGTGAATGCCTTCAATTACAGAACTCTTGGCTGTTGGGGAGGGGAGGCTGAATCATTGAATGTAGTCTCGTACTCTGGCTTAATTGTATAATCAAGGATCTTTTTGACTGGATTTCTCTTGAGCCACATATCCATTTTAAAGAGAATACATTTAAAATTGCAGGATACAAGTGCACTATTAGATAGAAGCAGAATCAAAGCTACAGTATATGCATTGAAGGATGTAATTGCTTGCTTGCAGAAAATCCTTCACTCAAAAAAGACTTGTAGCGGTAAAACTATTAATAACCTTTCTGTGTTTTAATATGTAGCTTTACTTTCATTACTTTTCTGAAGACTCAGTGAAGTTCTTGTGGTTCTGAGCTTCACAAGATGGATTCAAACGAGGAAGGTGCTTCCTTACAGAATCTCATTCTCATCCCATTCTTACATTAAACCACCCCATCGTCCTTGCATTACAACATCTAGCCTTCCAGATCACTTGTTCTGATCTTTAATTACCCTTGCCTTGTCTTATATGAAAGATTTACTTTATTAATCCCATTTAGAATCTTGTATACCCCTATAAAGTCGAACACAAGTACTATGGTAATTTTACAAGTATATACCTACTTTCTAAAAAGGTCTTCAAGTCGTGTTTAAACTTCCATCTTTTCCTGTAGATTTTATAGTGCGACAAACATATTTGACAATGCATACGGTCCATTATAATTTAATTTATATCTTCCTACTTGTGCACATCTCAACATCGAATGAACAAGGTTCAAGGCAACATTAATAACAAGAAAAAGAAAATAGTTGTCAAGTACTTCTAAGAATTCTTGTTCTCCCCCCGCGCCCCCCCCCCACTCCCCCTCCAACTAAAATGTATATCTTAATTAGCATTGCTGCAGATAGAATGACTAGTTGTGTAATTATACCACAACAATCTGCCAGATGCCAAATTAGATATTAATTAATTAATGACGGGTAGAATAGAGCTCGAGATGCACTGACAGGCCTGTCATCTTGAATTAGCACAAAAGGAGAGAACTTGTAGCTTTGTGTTCATGAAACAGCCACTTTCAGCTTACTGGAGTGAAGGAGATGCTCTCAATAGGCTCTCTGTTGAATTTTATTTTGTCCAGCCGTGAAACGAGGTGGCATCAGCGATTTTAGTGATAAAACTTTATAATACCAAAAAACTGCTGGTCATTTTAAAAAAAAAGCTAAAATAGATTTTTCAATGGTGAGGCCTGAATGGAAATGTATTACTATATCATTACAATACTTCACTGCTAATTTATATTGAAAGTGCATTATGTAACAACAACAACAAATGACACTTGTACAGTGAATTTCACATCGGGAGAACGTCCCAAGGCACTGATATTGGAGCAGGTAGGGGTAGGTATTTCAACCTAATGATTGTTCTCCCACTAGGGTGGGAATGTTGTTATATGAGCTTTGTTGTTGTGTTTTTCAGGTTGGGTTTAAGCCAGCAGGTGGCATCCGCACTGCAAAGGACTCACTCAACTGGCTCTCTTTGATCAAAGAAGAGCTGGGCAATGATTGGTTAAGCCCACAACTGTTCCGACTGGGGGCTAGTACCTTACTGAGCGACATTGAAAGACAGGTTCGGATTTTGACTGCTATTCACTATTAATGTTTTTCATGTTTAAAATTCTGTTTACGTCACTGGTACTTGCTGGCTGGGAATCAAAAAGAATTTAACTTCTGAGATAAGACTTATTTTGGGGTGGGGGGGAGGGGAAGAGGATTGTTGAAGAAATTCTGAGGATCTTATATTTTAAAAGTATTCCATTCTATATCATTCTTTACTCAGATCTACCATCATGTGACGGGACGCTATGCAGCATCTCATGAATTGCCAATGGCTTAGAAAGACCCACAACAAAAGTACACCTGCTTGACCTTCAGGAAGTGGTCCATGAGCATTGTTCTCCAAGCAATCTGCTGCCCCAAACATTAATATCTGGTACGAAGATTGGTATTGATCTTGGTTTCAATTTTCTATCTAAAAGTTGTCATTTTCTCACATTCTGTTTTCTCTTTATAAGCACTTGCTAATTTGCTAATACGCCAAATTATGTTCTGAATCTTCTAGCCTTTTATAAAACAAAATCCAATCCAATGAAAATCTGGGTATGAGGATTTTCATAAGTTTAATCATTTATATTTTTTCATTATTGCAATCTTGTAATTCACAATGCTAAGTGTTGTGCTGGACTGAATAAGCTCTTGTAGAGCTATCCTATGTATTAATTATAACAAAAATATATTTTGCAAATGATTCATTTGAATAAAATAGATTCAAAGTTTATCTGGATCATGTTACTTTACTTAGTTTTTTTAAAAAAAAGTTGTTATAGTGTAAGTGGGTTAGCTGTGTATGAATAAAAGCATCCCAGGTATTACTGTTTCAATTGAAAGAAAAATGATCGCTGAATATCCCTTTAATATATTCATTGATAAATGTTTTCAATAAAGAATAACAATGAAAAAAAATCCAAATGTCTCCCTGTATAGGCTACTGATCTCCAAGTCCCAAAGAAACAGATTGGTACAAAACCCATTGGGTTCGATTTGTAAATGGTACTAAATTAGGAGGTTGTGTGAACATTGACAGACTGCAGGAAACTAGAGAAAGACTTGAGCAGGTCAGCCAAATGGCAGATTTGTGGCAATGGAATCCGATATAGAAAAATGTGCATTGCTGCATTTTGGGAGAAAGAATAGAAACAATTATATACTGGGTGATAGAATCTTCAATGACGTGGACGAACAGGGATCTTGAGGTATAAATAGATAGTTTATTTAAAGCTGGATTCCAGGTAGAGAAGGCTGTTAATAAGACAAACAGGATTCTGGTTTAACAGAGTCATTCAATACGGAAGGAAGGAATGATGAATCTGTGCAAGACATTGGTTGCAGGCAGTTGTGGTTTTGCATTTTACTACTGAATTGATGTGACACACAATGTGTTTGTTCGTTCACGTTTCATGATGTTTCTTGTCAGATAGGTCATTAAACAGACTTATTTAATGTCGATTTATCTGTGTTGATAGCATTCTTGTCTCTGTGGGTACAAGTCCTGCATAAGGATAGTAGTTCATAGTCTAGGCTGACACTCTTAATGTCATCCTTTAAATGAGATTTTAAGACGAGATCCTGTCTGTTTGTTCAGGTTATTATTGAAACATTTATGATCGTATTTTAAAAAAAGTTTCCAGATTAAATGACTCAAAACTGTTGGTTGGTTGGCTAGTGCAAATAGCTCTAACACCCCCAATATGTTATCCTATGTGAAGGATGCTATATAAATGGCAGTTGTCATTACTCTTGGCTATGATTACTTATGCAGCACTTTGAAATGTTTCAATGCAAAAACGTGAGACGTATGAAGTCCTGAAGTCACATAAAGTACTAACTGACCTACTCAGAAGCTGTCTTTTGAATTAAATGGTGAGTCCAGTTACTATTAAATAGACTGCCAAACATATTTAAGATTTTCTTAGAAATAATTTGGAATCCCATTCGCAATGATTCACTTTCAAGCCCATATACACGATCATGCCGACCTCCTCTATTAGATCTTTGTTGGTTCTAAACCAGTAGAGTGCTTCATCCTTTCTGGTTGGCACGAAATAAAATTAAAATGTGTGGTTGGTGCCATTATGATATTGTTGATGTACTTTGAACGTTCTCTTCAAATGAATTTTCAAAGGAAAAAGTTTCCCATGAAATATGAAAGGTATTTCATGGAAATGATTGCATTACGCATAGAGTGTTTTAAAGAATAAATGAACATTGAAAGCAAGGTATAACTTTTGAATTAACGACATACTCTTAATCTTCAACCAGCTAGCAGAACCAGGGAAATGAATCTGCGTGGGCTGTTTTACATTTTCAGCTTGGACAACTGCGCAAACCTAGCAATAAAGCTGCTCAATTGTCATGATCTTATTCAGGTCACATTAACCATAAATTTACTAAAAGAAACTATTTGCTCTGCTAATCTTCTCCCACCCGTTCTCCCACTGTCTTTCTTCCTTTGTCTTGTTCTATTAACTTCAGTTCTGCTATCCAATCAACCAAATCTTTTATTTTCTGTAGTTATTTTTTTAATTTCCAACCTACTTTATATACCTTTTACCTTTTCCTTTCATTGTCCACTTTGGTTTTGAACTGCTAAAAGCTGTCTCCGATAATAATTTAGTCGATTGATATCCAGAGGTAGATTGCCACGGTAGCATTACCTGTGACACAGAATATGAACGTCAAACAGAGGAACTGCCAATGAACAAACTAATGTTGAAAACACAGATTTTATCGATTTTCTTTGTGTATGTGTACAACTCGAACTGGTCAGAGAGACCTTTCAAAGAACAATATCGGAATATTGGACTCAGAGGTCAGATGTGCCTGAATATTGAGCAACTCTGCTCCTGCCCCTTTCTTTTACCGAGTTCCACTGCCTTTTATTTAAGTAGGAGATTGGTTAGAAAAACAACTTCCAATGGCGTTGTGCATGTGTAAAGCATGTGATGTGATCACTTACACTTGCGTGAAACACCATTCCACTGTTTTTTCATTCCATCGATTGTACAGCTTGCTATAGAGGCACGAAAACTTGACACTGGAATGCGCTAGGACCATCTGCCACTGGGAAATTCAGCCTCTTCTGCTTCAGTTTGCTTGCAGGAGGCAGATTTATCTCACCACGCTCAGAGAAGTAGCATAAAACAGCAAAGCCAATGTCTCCACAGGTCAGGCAGCATCTACGGAGCGAGGAAAGTGACTTAGCGTTTCAAGTCAATGACCTTTCATCAAACTGGGTCATCAACGTGAAACATTGACTCCCTTTCCTCTCTATAGATGCTGCCTGACCTGCTGAGTGTTCCCAGCGACTTCTGTTTTTAGTTCAGGTTTCCAGCATCTGCAGTATTTTGCCTTGTTTTTTAAAAGCAAATATCTCCGAGGACAGATTATCAGACATCCACTATGCAGTGCTGAAGAATGTAAGGCGATATATACCAGACACAAACATCTGTACCTTACCTGTCTTATTTGCAATGGAACCTTTTCCTGAGACATATTGCCGTGCAGATTTGTTCTGGGTTGAGCCTTATAGCCTTAAGCGTTCTTGACTTTTGGTGTAAATGACAAACAATGTGATCCATAACGACATTATTGACGCAACTTGTTCTTTAACATTGAATTAGCTATTCAACTGCAGGTGGATTTTATACTTTAGAAAGTAGAATTTTAAATTTAATTTTTAGTGCCTCAGAGTGGATCACATTCATTTAGGGCTGGGGAGGATAACAGTGACCAAATGTAGCTCCTAATCCAAACATCTTTCTTATTTATTTTGCGATAAGGAGTGAAGTATAAAATATGCAATATAAAAAATCACAATCATGAATGAAACATTGATCTTTTATGTATTAAGAAACAGAACTATAATTTCATAAATGCAGACTGTGCAAAAATACCACCATATACATTTGTTTCAGTTACTCACCTAAATATTTAACTTGGCTCCGCTTGTAATATTATGCTATAAGTTCATGTTGGGTTTTTTTCCAGCCATAAACATGATGATAAATGGAAAGTAAGATGCCATTTTCTTCAGAGAATATCACTTTAAAGTAAGATTCTCAGCTTTTGCAGTGACAGCTACTGCAATTCTGTGGAGCTTTTGATTGCATTTCTCGTTCAGAGGTAGACAGAAACACCTTTGTTTCCTTATTCACAGAACTTAACAAAAAAAAGTGACAATATTGTATTTAATAGAACTGGTACCTAAGAAAAAAAAAAGGTGATTCATGATAATAAGAGGCCTGACAGCTTCAGCTGTATGAAAAATAGAGCATTCGTTCTTCGGTATGTTGATGGTAATATGAATTCAGAAAAAATCAGATTGCCTGGTTGACACAGGTAATGCCAGCATTACCCCTTTGGATCTGTTCTCAGAGAATTGACTCCACTGGGAAGTAAGTCGAGGAACATTCCAAAACACTGTCGTAGAACTTCAATGACTTTTCATGTTCCATCAATTTGTCCGCCAGAAACCCCCCTTTAATACACTGGTCATCATCTTCTCGATTTAGGTCTCTGTATCTGTGTAATAAAGTGAAGAAAGTCAAACGTCTGAACAAAATTAAAGTGGTACAATGAGAGAAAATGCTTTCGGTTCAATTACCTGTCCGAAACTCGCCAGAGTCCCAGAAGATTTAAAAGCATGAAGGAAGCCACAAGGAAGAAGAATCTATCCAAATGTCCAGCATTCAGATCATTAGGAAACCAATCACCTAGTAAAAGAGCAATAGCCAGTGTAAAATGGACAGATAGTAATGAAACCTAGTTAACATAAATCTGAAACAAAATGAATCAAACTCATATCCATTTGTTATTCATCCAGACAGCAGCTGTATTAAGGCCGTGCTTAATGAGAACTGTTATATTCTAGTTATATTTCCACCTCATTTTGATTCAAAAAGGTATCACCATCCAAGAATATTTGAAATCGAATTGTTGAATCTACTAAAATGTAATATAGATAGATACCTCTTAATAACGGAAAGATTGTGAGCAAAAAACAATAGCTCTATCCAATTATTCTAGTTAAGCAAACACAGCAAAAAAAAAACAGCGACTGAATAAAATGTTCTCTTTAAATGAATGTTGCCGTTAACAAAATGCTCATTGACTAGAATGCAATGTACTTAAACTGAAAATGTTTCAGAAAATGAAATAACCATTCGAAAATTACTGTGGATCTCATACTTACAAAATCTACATATTAATCTTTCCACAGTAAGCACTTTGTGCTGGTTTTAACTGGGCTTCCTGTTTAAACTGTTCTAGTAACATCTAATCCAAGCTACACATAAGAACATAAAAAATGCGAGATGAAAAAAGTCCAAGGTCCATCTAGTTCACCTTCCTGGCAGTCGCATGCACATATGTACCAAACTACCTACCCAAACTACACAGTAGAAAACAGGATTACATTGAAAATTAAATAATAGGAAACAAAGCGTTGAATTTGATGATGCTATAGTTGCACCAGTTGTAACCATTAGCTCCTCTCGAGGATCGCTTACTCTATTGATCGTGGTCTGTAAGTGATTTGATCACAATATTAAAAATAGAATGCCTATGTGCAGGAGATAAATAATCATTTGCATGGGGACCAAGTCAGCAGAAAACTGATATAATTCAAAGAAATTTGTAGAGATTTGGCAACTGGGTTGGTGATTCTTAAATGGAATGGTAATACTAAAAAATGTGCGGTAATAGGTGTTGATTTTGTTATCAGATCCAACTCACCTAACCTCGGAAACCCCTTACCTCTACCCGTCCTTAAAAATGACACTTCATTCTTCTTTATATTCTTTACTCAGATTGAACTCAGCCCCAAATCACCAGAGCACAATTGGTAACAGTCTTGCTTTGGGTCTGAAAATTGTGGGTTGAAGATGAACTAGACTGGTACTCCAGTGGACTGCTGAATTGTTCGAGGTACAATCATAGAATCATAGAATTATACAGCACAGAAGGAGGCCATTCGGCCCATCGTGTCTGTGCTGGTTCTTTGAAAAGAACTTCCAAATCAATCCCACTCCCCCACTCTCTCCCCATAGCCCTGCAACCTTGTCCTCCCCAGTCCTTGAGATGAGATGTTAAACCATAGTCTGTCTTTTCAGGGGGATGTTAAAGATCCTATGAGACCATTTGAAAAGAGAAGGGAGTTTCTGGTCAAACAATCCCCCAGATAAATGTGTCGTTCATATCTGTTTGTGGTATCTTACTGTGTGACAAATGACACATGCGTTAGCCTATAAATAACAGTTACACCACTTGAAAGCAATTCCCAGCGAAGCACTTTGGGACAGTTCAAACATTTTGACATTATAAGCACTATATCAAACGGAAGGATTATTATTATTTGCTCTTACCTCCAGATATTAAGTATACCATCTGAATGATAACCGCACCCACAAAACAGCCGACACCATTAAACAGAGTCATGAAATGCATTGAAATGCCTCGAACACTCGCAGGGGAGAGTCTAAATGTGACCAGTGAACCTGCAAACAAAGATAAAGGTGAAACTCAATCATTTAAGGCATTTGGTGACCTTGTTTAAGTGTTTTATTTTTCAGTGCTACGGAAAGACCCATCTTTTTCATTGCTGTAGTGCCGGCCAATAGATAATTTTAATTAACACTTGTATTTTTAATTAATTTATTTGTGTACCTAAGCAAAAGCTAATTATATATGAGCTACCAAATCTCTATGGAAATTAACGCCATGAATAGAATTCATGCATTTTGTAAGTTTGAAACAGCAATGTGCATTTGATAAAACCACTTTAGGGTAATATAATAATAATAATAATATTGCTTGCATTTGATTTAGCGCCTTATCACGTTATTGAAACATCTCAAAGCGCTTCACAAGATGCACTGTAATGCGGGTTGACTGTATTTTGTGGGTGAAATGCAGCAGCCAGTTGCATAGCAGTGTCCCACAAACAGGTATGAAGTGAGTGACCAATTTTATTTGAGGGATTGTTGGCCAGGACACCAGGAGAGAGAAACTCCCTTCTCTTTTCGATAGAGCCACGGGATTCAGTGAGTCTTATTTCCCACTTGATGAGCAAAGGTACAAATGTCAGGGTGCATTGGTGCTAGGAATAGCTTTTGCTGCTCTTGGCATTAATCTGAATATTTGAATTCTGGAAGGAACAATATAACTATTAAATAAAATATACTCTTCTGTTTTTTTGTTGGTCGAATTGATTTACGCACCTTTTTGCAAAATTGACCGCTGTAATTCTTTGATCACTGTGAACATTTCTGTTTAAAAATAAAGCGTTTGTACCTAAATAAGTAATCCATGCGTGTTTTGGGAGAGCAGAGTGCATCGATTTAAGCATATCATATAGAAAAAATAGTTCAGAGTCAAAGAAATGGCTGACAAAAAGCAAAGAATATAATGCATGCTTTCATTGCTGCAACTCAGATGAGTTTGGAAATTAGAACGAATGTAGTTTTCCCGCTAAATGACTAGTCAGAGAAGATACTTGTTCTTACAGGCGGGTGTGACCAGTGCCTCAGCCATTCCAAGCAAAACATACTGAGGAGCGAGTTGAAAGCAGGGCATTGAAGACACGAGCAGAACTTTCCCCGAAAGCGACTGTTCTACCAGCACAAATCTTCTCCTGTGCATCTCTGATATCCCAGCGACCACGACCGACAGTGCAGCAAACAGGTGACCAATAACTGCAAGAGGTAATAAGGTATTTGAGTATCTAGAAAGCAAAAATCCTGCTCTGAAGCATCCCCAAGTAAATGCGTGCCATTAGTATGTGATAAATAATATATACCTTTCGCGATAGTGAATATACCATTCTCCGAACTGGATATTTGACTTATCTATTGTATAATTGTGCATCGTAAACTCCATCATAGCAAAAGTGACCTTTTTCCCCCCCCCAAAAAAAAACAACAAACAAAAGTAACGGAGAGGCACAGAAATGTAATTTTAATCAATTCCGCTCTGAAGTGCTTGGAAATTTATGCAAATTGACAAGTCGATCATTTGCAGCGCAGATAAAGCATATCTCACACCATTCTGACTAAAACAACTGAGGCTATTAGTAAAAGCAATTAAAGTTAATTAGCTATTTAACATGAGTGCACACATCTTCTGCTTCTTGTTTGTCATCGTCCTCACACCGCTTAATGAGGGTTTTAAGATTTACTCCATTCTATCCATCAGCAATCCATCAGCAATCGTGAAAAGTAGAATTGATGTGAAAATGGTGTTGGATTGACACTAAAAATGCAGCACAAATTGCTTTGAGTACTATTTCGACTAAGCAAATTTTGTGCTAGAGATCACCTTGAAATAGTACAAATCACATGTGGTCTCCGCAGAAGAAATTGCCCCCTTTAACATTCCTGCACCAGGCATTGCATCAATCTTAAGTTATTTTGTGATATTAAAGAGCTGGTTGCTTTAAAAACATTGAAAAAATAATGCAGGTCCCCTTAGGTTCCAGCAAAAGTGATTCTGGAGTGCCGTCACCTGCTGCTATTTTCTAGAGTTAACAACAATAACAACAACAAAATTACATTTGTGTAGCGCCTTTCACGTCGGGAGGACGTCCCTTTCAGATCAAATCCTTTCCAGCAGTATAAAAGGGCACGATATTCATTCTCCGAGGCCCTGTATTATGGCTGCTATGTAATTTTCATGCCTTATTAGTCTTGTTATTTTCCGTTACTTAAATCTAAGCATTTTCACTATTATTAGCCATATGAACAGTCTTCAAAGCCTGAATGATTTTCTGTTTTAATTTAACAGATACGATGATGATCCCTCAAAAAAAATAAGAAAATGACATGGGAGAGAGGGAGATGGTCTAAATCGTGGCGATCTGCTATGACACAATTGATACTCAGGCAGTGACTGTCACATCAGGAGGACGTCGCAACATGCTCACCAATTCCGAGGGGGGTGAGCGGAGGGTGGGGTTGAAGAGGAGAAAGTTGAATGGAAAAGCAGGAGCAATATTTATGTCTCCGAGTCGCAAATAGTAACTTCTCCCTGTAACCAGAAGCACATCGTGGCAACTCACAGGACATCTGCTCTGATACAATGATGTACTTCTGTGTCGTGAGAGCCAGACATCCAATTAGCAGTAGATTTTTTTTGCTGTTCGAATTGGCTATTAAGAATTTTCATGTGGGGACGGAGAGGTTATGCCTGAATGAGTAAAAGATTTCCATTTTCGTTGATGTTTATTATTCTGTTTCCTGTTGTTCCCAAGCACCCCCACACCTCTAGTTATTCAGTAGTTATTACGTTAAGTTCCATAGTAATATTGCCACTTATTGCCCGTGACATCGTGTAGAATCAATATTAATTTTGAAGAGTGCACCATCCGTTAAGCCAACTTATATATTTTTTAACAAACTGCCATTAAGTCGAAGAAATGTAAGATGTTCGTAATTCCAGGTACATGAGAATCAGGAGACACATAAAAATACGCCTAAAGTAAATGACAAATCGTAATCATTTCATTGTTCTAAATAAGCTTGCAAAAAGAGATCATTGCAGTCAGGTGAAACAGTGTGAAAGGTTCTACTGAAATGTTAGCAATAATGCAGTAATACTGATCAGCCTGTGTCATACCTACCTATCTGTACCAATGGGGACAATGGACGTCTATGCATTGAAAGCAGACAAGATCCAACATATTCCAGGAAAGGCGCAAGTAACAGCAGAGGAATAATGCCCGTTACATTCATTGCTGCTATCGGGAGCAGTAAGCCACTCAGTTTCAGGTTGGAGTGCATTGTTTGTATGAAATACGCCGAAGGAACCTGTGTTCATAAATAGTCACGTTAATCAATAACGATATGAATAAAATAATAATAAATTATATTAAGCATGATTCTGACAAACGCTGCAGCAAACAATGTAAACAAAAGGTGTATTCGATAAACATTATTTTATACACAAAGTCATGGATAATCATAGGATCTTACAGAAGGAGGTCATTCAGCCCATTGTGCCTGTGACGGCTCTTTGAAAGAGCTTCCAACTAGTCCCACACCCCCACTCTTACCCCATAGCTCTACAAATTTTTCCTTTTTAAGTACCCATCCAATTCCCTTTTGAAAGCTACTTTCGAATCTGAATCTGATCATGTTTCCAATATTTCCACCAATGTAAGTACGAAACCCGCTTACTGCTGTATCCCGCTATTTAGTGCCAACATGAGCGCAACCAGCTAGAGGCAATAGTGGTATTATGAAGGATCAGTTTAAAACACAAATAAAGTGTAGGAAAAACACAGTAAGAGGATCACCTGAAATATGCAGGTCCTGTATAAAATCTGAAAGGCAAACAGCGGGAATAATCTGACAAGGCGTTTGACATTTTCCACGTGAGCCTCACTGTACCAACCGCCATGGTTTTCTTTCGCCCGGTCCAGCCAGCTGCTCACGTCTCCACTAATGTGACGGTACCTGATGCAGCACATCTTCAAGGCATTAATAAAAACCCCAAATGTTCCCATCAAGGAGCCACCTGCAAATATTTATCATAAAGATACATCAGGGATCCCTGTCCAGTGTGACTGTCATATTTGTTACTGTATCTCGTTTTTAAAGACTTATAATAATAATAATCCTTGCATTTGATATAGCGCTTTTCACGTCTTCGTGACGTCTCAAAGTGCTTCACAGAATAGACTGTAAAGTAAATTGACCGTATATTTGTGGGCGAAACGCGGCAGCCAATTTCGCACAGCAGCGTCCCACAAACAGTCATGATTGAAAATGACCAATTTATTATTGTTTTTTGTTTTGGAGGGATTATTATTAGGCGTATGGAGTAAGGACACTTGCCCAACGTTTCACCCTGCCTGGAATTGAACCCAGGTGTTCAAGGCAAGTGCTCTAACCACTGAATTACAGGACTCCACAACCCTTTTTAAGCCTTTTTAATCTGTGATATTTTTTATAATTGAGTTTAAATAAAGTGAAGTGAAGTAAAGGGTCACAACTACTGTTAAATGAGAATTTTTTTACGTAAAGAATGTTTTACACCTTCAGGCTGCCTGGTCTTTCACATAAAGTTAATTTCATTGAGGCAATATAAAACATTATAGCTATATATACAGTATTTTTAAATGGTCTCACAGATAAAATAAAATATTACAATACAGAGAAGTGCAACTAGTTCAAATGCAAGTATTACTATCATTATTATTATTATAACTTATATAGAAGAATCAGAGGGGATCTTATAGAAACCTATAAGATCATCAAAGGGTATGATAGAGTAGATAGTGGGAGATTGTTTCCCTGGTTGGAGAAACTAAAACCAGGGGTCACAACCTTAAAATCAGAGGCCAACCCTTTCGCACTGAGTTGAGGAAGAACTTCTTCACTCAAAGGGCGGTGAATGTATGGAACTCACTACCCCAAAGGGCTATTGACGCTCAGTACTTGAACATATTCAGGACTGAGATAGATAGATTTCTTATTGCAAAAGGTATTAAGGGATATGGGGATAAGGCAGCGTCAGGTTATTAGCTGGAGTTAGGTTAGAAGATCAGCCATGATTGAATGGCGGGGCAGGCTCGAAGGGCCGAATGGCCTACTCCTGCTCCGACATGTTATGTTATGTTATGTTATGTTATAACTTGTGATATTGTAAAACAAAATGCCAAAACAAATTCATCATTACCTTTAAGCTGCTGATATCAATCTGACTCCACTTGTTTTGACTAATTTCTGCTAAAATCCCCAAATTAACTTTCTGGTAGTGGAATTATTCAGTCATTAATTAATCTACCATTTTGCTTTAGTATCCATTGGCGTCACTGTAACCTAAATAGGATGCGTATTAGAAATGCAAACTGCATTGCTTTGCTGCCTTTGTTGTATTTAATGACAGTCTTGAGTGATCCTTAAACCACTCATGGTGTAAATTAATGACTTGCTTAAATTTTCAAAGGTCTGTTGAACAACAAACCACATTCTTGTCAGTGACTGAACCAGGGTCACTGAATTACAGTTAGGTTGTGCGTGAAATAATACTTTCAGAATACATATTAATTGCTCCCCTTTACAAGTAATTAATTGTCTACTCTTCGTTTTAAAGTTAAATCTCTGGAACTTCAAAGCATTTTTAACCTTGATGACCTTAAGTTACAATGCGCAGATCAATCCCCCAAAAACAAAACAGATTGATAAAACAAAGCAGTGAACTGAACTTTTTAGTATTCAAGACAGTTTAAGAGTCACTTATCTCACCACAGCTCAATGCATTTTCAAACAGTAATTAGCACTATTGCAGAAACAAGGTACTACTTTGCAGACAATCGAATAATCAATGCTTACTGGACAGTATGAGTTATTAAAACAGGCAATTTTCCTTCAGTCGCATTAGTTCTGCTTTGGGGAAGCTGCTTTAGTGTTTTACAGAGAATACAATATGAAAATACATGGGATAAAGAATCGTATGATTTTCACGTTTGTGCCAATGTACAGTTAATCAGAACGATAAATTGAAATAATTTAATACAAACGCGAAAAGGAAAACTGTTGCCAACATCATTAAAATCTTTCATTTTCAAGTTGTTTACAATTGTCATCATATTGGAAGCCCAGAATTGCCTGTAATGGACACAGGTAGTCAGTCTCACCTTTCTTGGGCCGGTAGATAAGTCTGTTCTGTACCATGTGAACAGTGATGAGGGTGATCAGGACTGATGTGAAAGGAATAAGAAAGCCAAGGTTTTTGGCTACAGACTGTTGAATGTAGGCGATACCCACAAACACCACTGCACAGTTCAGGTTCATCAGCCAATAAAACCTGCATAAAAATATACCAGTGTCACTGTTCAAAATATGTTTCAAACTGTCGATTCATTTAAATGATGACTGTATTTTAAATTATGAGTCATTTCATAAAATATAATACAGTTATTATCTTACTCTATCCATTTTGTCCCTTTGCAGTTTTCTACTCTCCACAATTTAACATAGTGTCGTCAACATATTAGTATGTACTCCTCTCTATTCCAATATCCAGGTCACATTTATAGCATTAAAAACCTGAGGTTTCAGCATTGATTACTGGGCACAATTTGTAACTACCTCCTAACCTCAACTCTGTGCATCTTACCTCCCAACCAATTTCTTATCCATGGTGTTAAGACTGTCTCTAATTACATGTGTTTTCATTTTAGCCCACAGTCTCTCTCTTATATGGCACCTTATCAAATGTCTTCTGAAAATCTGTATAAACTACATAAATTTATCCTTCTTTATCTGTCAAAAAAGGCAAATAAGGTGAGTCAGACATTATCTACCTTTCACAAAATCACAATGACATTTACTGAATGGTTCATATGTTTTCAGCGCCTTTGGACGTCCACCCGATGTGAAAGGCACTTTAAAAATGTAATTTTGTTGTTGTTGTATCCTGATGCTCAATTACTCTGTACCATATTTTTGGGGAGGGGAGAGTGGGGGTTGGTTTATCTGTGCACTTCAGGATCTTGCTTCGTGTAGTATGTTTTTGCCATCCTCTGGATTAGACGTTTCGCCCACGAAATATACAATCAATTCACTCTGCAGTATATTCTGAGAAGCGCTTTGAGACGTCTTGAACACGCGATAACGTGTTCTGTATCAAGTGCAAGGATTATTATTATTACTAGGTATAAATGGGCAGCCATCGAATGGTTTCTCCTATTGTTGCTCTACTTTTCCAAACTGATATTTTAGAATGAAAGCAATAAATGCAGAAGCTATAACGAGGACCATGTACGATTCAGTTACATTCTAACATAATGTCATATCTTCAACCGAAAAATTTAAAAAAATTATCACTTGAAATTGCAAACCAAGTTTGTTCAAGAACTAACCAGTTGAAGAAAGTTAGGACGTCTCTCTGGCCATAGTCCTGTAATTTGTAAGCACTGAGAGGGCAGACAATGGCTCGGATTCCTCCTGAACCCAATGATGCTGATAACAGACCAATATAAAACAGTAATGTCTGTTCCCTTTTAGCCAGAGTGTGAATAGTGTGATGAGTATCAATGTAAAAATCCTCAAACGGGAATGCAACAACGGGTAACATCGCAGTGCCTTGGAAAACCAAACAGAGAAACTTTCATTAGTGGTTATCGGAAACATAACTTGTTATTTTAATTCACAACTAGATACAGTAGTTCTAATTTTCTTTATCTGCCAAATTAATTGTAGGTGTTCATCTTCAAATACGCAACCACTGCACATTAGAGTAAATCACAAGATTGGTTCGGTTACAATATATAATAATAATCCTTGCATTTGATATAGCGCATTTTGATATATCACAAAATATTATCTACAATAATACAACCTCTCTGATATCTCCTTTCAGCTCTGAAGAGCTGTAGCTTTTCAAATGATTGCTCGTAACTTATTCCACAAACAATGTGAATCATCCTCATTGCTCTCCTCTGTCTGTCACTAAGACCTGAACAGACCCCTTATGTCACAGTGACAAGAACTGTAAGCAGTACTCTTCGTGTGGCTGACTAGAGCATATTATAATAATAATAATCACTGCATTTGATAAAGGACTTTTCACATCTTTGAGACGTCTCAAAGCGCTTCACAGAATAGACTGTAAAGTAAATTGACTGTATATTTGTGGGAAAATTGCGGCAGCCAATTTCGCACAGCAGCGTCCAACAAACAGTCGTGGATTGAGTGACCAAATTCTTTTTTTTCTTTTTTTTTCTTGAGGATTATTATCAAGCGCGTGGAGTAAGGAAACTTGCCCGAGGTTTTGCCCTGCCAGGAATCAAACCCAGGTCTCTCGCTTTCGAGGCGAGTGCTCCAGCCACTGAACTACTTAATTTGGCATTTGTACACTTCCAATTATTATTTTTTTAAAGGATTATTATCCCCGGAAAAGCGATCCGCCAATCGACTAACATCCGGGTTCCTACTTACTGCGAGGTAAACAGAGTCATATATATGCATATCTCCAGTGAAATGTCGACATTTCAAAAGACATTTCAACGATACGATAAGGCACTATGTCAAAAGCAAGGATTATTACATTTTTATATCAACAAAGAACCGGTCAAACTATCTTAATCATTGTTTAGCTGAATAAAATGATCAGCCATCAATTACAGAGGTGAATTTGAATCACTAAAATCTTTATGGAAAAATAGTGCAGCGATTGAACTTATATAACATAAACAGGAGTTAATTAACCAGACTGAATATATTATTAACAATGATTATTAGACACTGAACTATGCAAGTTTTAATCACTGCAATATTGGTTAACATTAGAACTAGAACAGAATGTCACATCTAAATCTGAACGACAACATTAATAAACAGTTTATTAGCTGTCCACCTCCATACTTCCAGGTTTCAGAACTCTTTTGGGGCCTGCAAATTCTATTCTATCTTAGTTTCTGTGTTCAAACTATATTAAACTTGAGCACAGATGACAGACCTGATCAAAATCAGATTTGTCTCCTCACACAGTGCATTTTACATTGAAAAGGTCTATCCATTACTCCTAAATGTGTAAGATACTAACAATTTATGTGTGTCCTTGAGGTTTATTAACTTCTCTTAAGAGTAGGAATTCAGAACAAAAGCTTTACTATTGACATCGAGCCAAAATTTTGAACAATGCAGTGTTGTTTTCTTAAGCCACGTTAACTCCTACACACAGTACAAATTCCAAATATTAAATTGCATTTGTATTTAACCAACTACAGTTTGTGCTCTTGTAACATGGTTACAATTGAATGGATCTAAAAAAACACTTCTAAAAAAGAACTGTTCATTGAAAAACCTGTTTTGCTCTCAAAACCAAAGACCCTACAGTTAGATTTGAAAATACCAAAATAAGACCAAAGGTTATCTCCGAAACTATTTAAAGACATCATTATTATGGATACTGTGTGACCTGATGCACACTCCATTAGTGATCAATTCACTTGATTTAATGCTGTAGTCATTAGCCAGGATTCATTTGCAAGATCATACACACGTAGTTCTTTAAAATGAACAGTAGTTTACTTTAAACAATGTGGCATCTTGTTTTGAATTCTTGTCCGACTGAACAAAACTGACATCACGATTTAATTCAAGAAATAACAAAGAGAGATTGTTAATCTTCATTTTAAAGAAACTCATGAGTTTACTACCATTGTGTGAATCTATAATATATAAACAATAATGAACGTGAACATCTGGGAGATAGTCTTGAGATTGCATTGGCCCTGGCATCGCCCACAAAATATACTGTCAATTTGTTTCACAGTGTATTCTGTGAAGCCCTTTGAGACGTCTCATAGACGTGATAAGGTGCTTAATGCAAGGATTATTGTTATTATTATTATTGGATGGTGACAGTGAACAAGAAGCAATGTTGGATACATAAAAACAACAAACATGAACATTAGAGTACTGCACAAGTAACAACAGATCATACAATAGGAAACGTGAATTGGATGTGTAACACTCTTACCTAGGAAATGAAGGAATGCACAGATGTAGACTACTTTGGTTCTAGCCATGCAGTATTCTGCAAACCATCCAACAAACACTGGAGTCAGCATACTGGCTCCAACAAAACACAAGTTGACGATGGCTGCCTGGTGATTCTCGTAGCCCAGCTTGAGAGTGCAGAAGAAAATCATGTTGCAGACAATGCCAAAGAAAGTGAAGCGTTCACACAGCTCTACCAACAGTAGACAGATGACTATTTGCAGTTTCTTTCGAGAATAGCGTGTGTCGGCACTCCGCTCTGCTCTGAATCGCCTCGGTTTCCTTCTCTTTCGGCTATCGGAAGGGTTCAGAGAGTCTGTTTCTTTTGCAGTAAGATTTTGCAAATCTATCACAGCCATAGTGGCTTTCTGCTTTGCCACAGTGATTGTGGGACTCAGCAAAAGAGCCAAAAGTTCTTATTATCTCATTATCAGGTTAACACTACGTTCGACCTGAATTCCACATCCAAGTATTACTATTTCAAAGTGTTTGTCACAGGTTGATGCTACCTTGACGTCCAAACGGTAGAATCACTATTTGATTTGGGGGAGAGTTTCAACTGATAGATTTTTTTCCTTTGTTTGTCTAGTTCACCTATTTTAATAGTTACGATACCACCACGATCAGTAACTCACACCTAACAAACCAGGTAAGAATGATGTGACAGCAATGGATGTAGTCGTGTGATAGCATAAAGCTATCTCAAGTTTTAATACATTTTTGTGCGCTGCAAAATAAAAGAGAGGCGGTAAAAAAAAAAGAAGGCAGTCAGAACCAACTCTGACACACTGTGATTCTGGTTTCTAATTAGGAATGGGTATTCTTTCGCCCGGCTGTGCGAATTGGAAGGTAAGAGTTTAGCACGGCTGTGAAAAGGCTTTTCATTCTCAGTCGATCGAGCTCCTTCAGAACGTACAGAGCTGTGGGCCGTTAACTCTACAGTAACACGTGCTATCAGATAATAATAATAATAATAATCCTTGAATTTGGTATAGCGCCTTATCACTTCGTTGAGACATCTCAAAGCGCTTCACAGAATATATTGCATATAATGTAATAGTATATGATATGCATATACCAAATATATTTAAGATACTGAAGGAGACACAACTTTTCAGCCTTCACAAATTGTGTTATTCTTTGTCAATTTGCTTTTAAAAAATCTGTTCATGATCCACCTGTAATTTAGCCATAACAGTGAATGCCTTAATGAATTGACGTGTTCCTATGAACTCCAGGATGACTTTGAAATGTAATAATCACATATACACTAAATGCTCACTGCTAGTCCAAATGGGAGCCGCATACATATTTATGTCCAACTGTAACAAGATGATTGATTTGTTGGCCATATATTAGATGCTTTGTGTTATGTTAGTCACGTATCAGTACAGAGATGCTAAATACCAGCAAGAATTTCATTAAATATGTTCAGATATTAGGCGCTAATGTGTCACGATTTATTGCCGATTCTACAGGGAAAAAAATGTTGAACTTTATACCTTAACATCTGTAGCATACAAAGATCAATTGGATAACGCAATGCTATTTATTAATAATAATAAAAACTTTCTAAAATTGTAGCTATGGAAGTACAACTTTAGAATGTTCTTTTTTAAAATGCAAAGATGACTTGAGAACACAATATTTTCACTGAGATTTTAATAACTTGAACATCAAAACCCCATTCTTCTCCCATAGTCCTGAAATAGGGAATATTTGAATAGAACTAATCATTAGAATCAATACCTTTTTGAAAAAAAATACAAATTTCATTATAATAACAATAGTTAGCAAATACATCTGAAATAAATTGAGAAATAAATTTTAAAGGCTATGTGTGTGGAAAACAAGAAGTCCCTATTCCTTATTTCAGGTCTAGGCACACAATGAACCAAGAAAGGCTATGTGGAATGGTTATGGCCTCTTTCCATTGAACATGAACTTGTCAGTAAGCTTCAGCAATTATAATTATAGTTCTTTAGATGCCATTTCCCAGATGATAATACTGAGAATTTGCAGGAAGGAAATGTCAGGAATTTATTGAAGCTGTCTTTATATTGGATCTATGGAAAAGGGAGAGGATTTCAGGATCTGACTTCAAGATCCTCACCCTTGTCTTCGAAGCCCTCTACTTCTCTGCACCCCCCTACCTCTCTGACCTCTCCCTCAAAACAGTGTCCGTTGCCTTCGTTCCTCCGGCTCTGGTCTCCTCCTTGTCCCCTGAGTCCTCCGCGCCACCCTCAGCAGCCGCGCCTTCAGCCATTATGCCCCGAGGCTCTGGAACTCCCTTCCTCATTCCCTTCGCCTCGCCCTCTCTCTTCCTATTTTCAGGTCTCTGCTGAAGACCTTTCTTTTTGACCGTGCCTTTGGTCACCTTCCCCCCCTTCCCCCTGGCTCCTCATCCCTCCCCCCGGCTCCTCCCTCCCCCCGGCTCGGCCCCGGGATCCGTTACTGTGAAGCGCTCTGAGACGCTGTCCGGCGTGGAGGGCGCTATATAAATCCAAGTTGTTATTGATTCGGAAAACTGGTTTATTAGATAGTATGTAAACCTGTATCCTCAATATTTTTATGATCAGTCGTCATATCCAGTAAGGCTTTGTCCAATTCAGCCAAAGTATGTTTGATCATTTATTCCACCTTAATTTTATTAAGAAATCTTTTAGTGTAGTTTTATAGAAATTGATGTCTGAAAGTCAGTGCATTGTCACTGTATGAACAGTTTTGGGAAACTTTTTGCATGAATCTAGAGAATTTGGTCAAGAGATTTGAACTACTTGGTGGTTTTGTGGGTTCAAAGACATGCTGTTTCAGTTGGACATTATGAACAATTTGTTCTAGATTCCTCAATTAAACCACTCTGAACAATGTAGATTTAAACCTAAATTAAATTCTGACCAGGTTATCACTCACTTATAATGACCTGCTCTCAGCAGTGTAAAATTCATACGTGCTAATTAAACTATGATGTAGAAATCCACTTGGGAACTTTGCCTATGTATAACTAATACAATTCTGTAAAGCTAAAAATGTCTTGTATGGGATTTTGTCATCTTATGATCATTTTCATTTTTCATAGATTCTCACACTAATAGTCAAGCATTTCGTGTAACGATAGAGCTGGGGTTTAGACTCTTGAGTGAGTCATGTGTAAAATTACTTGATGTAGCACTGTATATTTGTGGTATTTACCATGATTTGTGAAATAGATCTGCTGATAAAATAAAAATGAATTTGAAAGCTCTTTTATTTTCAGTGTTATCATTTACTTGCAAGACCACACGCCATGCCAGTAATGGTTTCAATCAATTCAACAAAAATAAACACAGTATAAGCAAACATACATAACAAAGTCTCAATTAAAATACAGTCAAGTACATTAGCGACAATTCGATATTACGATAACATAATAAAGTAGCTGCTAATTTTGTTTTGGTCAGCCGGGGGTCTGACACATGTGGAAACCCATCACCATGCAGAAGAGTCTCCAAACCAAACTGCGAATTGCATGAATCCCACCTACACAAGGAAATTCCAGAGACAGATTGTTGGAATGGATTGCGCTCTCTCTCTCTCTCTCTCTCTCTCTCTCTCTCTCCCTGGAGGGATGCATCCTTCTTAACTAATTCGGGAAAGTATTAGGTGCAGGTTGGCAAGAGCCAAGGCTTGTGGACCTCACAGTGTGAGTTGGGGTAGCTGCTGGAGTCTAATCAGCTAAAACTACATAGCTTGCTATTGATATTGCTGAGCAGAAAAAAAACATTACGCAATGAGTTATTACCCTCTGAAATGCATTGCCTGAAAGGTGGTGCAAACCGATTTAATAATAACTTTCAAAAGGGAATTGGATATACAGTTGAAAGCAAATATTTTCAAGGCTACGGGCAAAGGGAGGGGGAGTGGGAACTAATTGGGTGGCTCTTCCAAAGTGCCAGCACAAGCCCAATGGGCCAAATGGTCTCCTACTGTGCTGTAAGTTTCAATGATTCTATGATAAACCATCACCCACAAAACATAGTCCATTCGAAGCGCTTTGAGACGTCTTGATAAGGTGCTGTATCAAATGCAAAAAGTATTATTATAAACAGCTTACCATAGACATAGCAGCACCCACCATCCTAATTAATCCAAACCCTTAGTGAGAAAACCACATGTGTGTCCCTGGTTAGTGCTGAGGAACTGAAAAGAATAACATTCCAAAATGGACAAACAACTCACATCTGCTAAGTCTTTTCGTGAACTCCTTTTCACCTTCCTTGACCGGAGAGAATTTTAACTCTTTCCTTACAGTGTACAATATGCATTTATCTTCCACGCGCTTTTTTTTTTGCTGAACTCACACACTTTGGGGTTTGTTGCAGAACATGTGCTGGGATTTATTTGAATAAGTCCACGTTTTAACATTTTATCAACTTGACACGACAATCGAGGTGATGCTTATCTGAAGCTCTCTTGTTGCGAATTTGTGAAAACTGCATATTCTATGTGGATGATGCCATTTTAGTTATTAATGGTTAGCTGACAGAATCATGAAAATATTCTTCATGTGCCTATTGTTCATGTGTAATCCTAGGTAGTGAGTGTCAACAGGCTATGATAATAAACCGGCTGGCAAGTTCGAATGCTTTGTAATATTTTGTTGTAAATGGAAAATGTTTCCATGCGTATTATATGGTTGCAGGCATCTTTCAAACCTTTGAATAATAAGGGGTGAAAATTCTGGATATATTAGAAAGTAAGACTTGTACATCATCTTCATGCATAACGTCCCCTTTCTAATGGACATGGCTGTCACCAAACTTGACCTTTCTGTATCCATTCTTGACTGCTGGACTACTGCTCTATGTATCCTGGAAGAATGAGGTCAAATGGACTTGAAGGGTTTTTTTTCATTCTTACCTTTCATAGGAAGATGTGAAAATGGCTGATCTGGACCTCAACTCCAATTACCCGCCTTTGCCCCATATCCCTTGATACCCTGACCTAACAAATACCTATCCACCTCAGTCTTGAAAGTTTGAATGGATCCATCATCCACAGCCTTGTGCTCTTGCGTTTCTTGTGCTCTTGTGTTTGAAGACTTTAGATAGTTTTTTTAAAAAAAACGTAACTATTTCACCCAGATTGTTTTCAGAAATTTAGCAAGATGGGAGCTCCGTATTTGTTCCCGATTGCTCACTTAATCTTCTAAAAATCAGAAATTAGTTTCACCCAAATTGCAAAGGCGTGTTACCTTGGTGAGCCTGGAGCGAGAGCACGCGTGATTTCGCTAGGGAATGCGAAACATTTCGATAGCTTCCTCTTACAATTGTACAGCTTTTGCCTTGACATCTCACTCACTAAACTTATCTTTCTGGCA